GGATTTGCTTGTCCATAAATCTGGTTATTTTTTAACCATCCGTAGTCGTATTTTTCGAAATTTCCTGCAAGAAGTAGTACTTTAGTCAAAATTTCTTGTTTTGAAGTAAAAATCAGTAAACTGTTTGTTTTGTTTGAGTTATAAATTTTGTGGTTGGTTTCTTATATTGGAACCAAGATCTGATATATAAATTATAATAATTTGATATTTTACGTGAAAATTTTATATCTGTATTTTTACGTTTTAGAATAGTCTAGTATAATAGCCAAAATCCAATGATTGTTATAAATATAGGATTTATAGTGAATTTGAAAAGTGGTATCATATATAAAGTATTTGTCAAGGTTCATCGATCCCTGAACTTACTTTTTTCATTTTGATTTTCTGTAATTAAAATTTGCAAGTAACCTAAAATTCGAATGCAACCCTCAATTTTCACCTTTATATTTGCCTAAATAATCTTCAAATTTGTCATAATTATCCACAAATTTATATCATGCAATTTTATGCATTTTGATTAAATTTTCTATTTTTTAAGTAAATTATAAAGTATATATTTGACATGGTGAATTAGAGCAAACTGTTACGTATAAGTTCTAATGTAACTTATTTTTTATGCATATTCTTATTTTTTTAAATTTCATTCTCAAATTTTTATTCATTTAAAATAGTTATTTATGTCCATACCTGATTTTATTATTTGTGCATAATGGAGCAGTTGTTTTGTAGATGCACCAGCTGGTAGATTTTGTACAATTTCAGGAATCAAAGTCTAGAAATTAAATAAAAACGTTGAAATAAGATACAGTTGAAGATATCTACCAATTTGCAAGTATTTTGGAAGAATGTTTCTCTAAAAAGTTAAAAATGCAGACCAGGACAACCTGAAAATCATACGTCAACTTGGGACTTCTGAGAAAGTTTTAGTACAACATATCTATACAAATCTTTACAATTATGACAAAACTAATATTTCTTCACTTACTGCATTCAATTGATCAGGATTGTGTCCAGAAAGCAAGAAATAGACATTACTGCACAAAATTCCTTGAGTCCAGTCATCATCTTGGCATAAAATTTACCAATTTCTTCAATAAATCCAGTGGAGGGCAAAAATTCATTCAAACCAATTGCTGAAGTAATCCACTACAAAAACAAGATTTTATTACATTGCACAAATAAAATATTGATAAATGATTCATGATTACATCTGCTTGGTTTTTAACTCGAGCAAGAATTTGAAAAAAGATATTTGGATCGTGTGTCATGAAAATTGCAGGTGCCAAAGCCTGGAAGGATTTTAATTTGTCGTTGTATTCTGGACGATCTGCTGCCATTACTACGGAATCAGTACATCCTTGGGAATGACCTGGAAATAACAAAAATATTAAAAACAAATTAAATGCTATGTTTTTTTTTAAAATTACCTACCTATAAGATGTAGTTTTTCTTCACCAGTTGCATTAAGAACGTAGTCGATCATTGCAGGTAGATCGAAGTTTCCTACTTCATTCCAACTGGGTAAATGATTATTGAATAAATATTAATTTGAAAAGTTTTGAAATAAAATTATATCCAATGTTAACCCTTCCGACTCGCAATTCACGAGTGCAATTAACTACAATTTTGTGTGAGAACTTTCACGAAGAATAATTCATATTTGAAAAGATTTGCTAATTGACTCAGTATAAGTTTTAGCAAAATACAAAAATTCACAGTTTTCCAAATTGGTTGTTAAATCTGAAATTTGACTAAACACCGTAGGTAAGAGTGGTCATATTATCATATTTTAATTGTTATGTGCTGTGAATGCTATAGCATCCACGTCAAGTATCACGCTTCTATATGGCGCAATGTGCTTGGTAAAGCTAATTTGTGACTAAAGCAAAAGAAAATAAGAAAATACCTAAGATTAAATACAAAATTAGTAGTGCGTTAAGGAAAATTGCTGGAACTTTCCGTACCAAAAATAGGACATTTGAAAAAGTTTCAAATTTTTTTTGAAAATTTTGGAAAAATGTGATTTTTGAAAATTTTGAAATTTTTAAGTAAAATGAATTTTTTTTGAAAAATTTAAGTTTTGTTTTATATTTTGGAATTTTTGGGGATTTATTTTTGTTTCAAAGCAATCGTGCTGAGAAAAGAAATATCGAAGCGCGTAAGCGCTGCATCGCAATGTATCGGTTACACATTGGTACGGAACCCATAGATATGTAAACAAAATTTATACTTACAATTAATTAAAATCTCTATAAAATATCTGATAATTTGATGGGCATATGTTTGATAATAATTTTTGACCATCAAATGGCATTTTTTAATTTTTTTCATTGCATCTCCGAAAACGCTAAACCTGCCTTTCGAAAAATTTTATCATTGATTTATTTTATCGATACAAATAATTTTTTTTTTAATTGTTAAAATCAGAAGGCACCGTTCTCTCAAAAACTTATCAGTTTTGGCACTTTTTGCCCCGTACCTTCAGAACGGTTAGACCTGCCTTTGTCAAAAACTAATCAGCACGCCTCCTTATTAATAGGGATCGAATGTTTTCTGAATCATTCAAATCAGTTTATCCGCGTTTACGAAATAGTCGACGAAAATCTGTATCCGCACAAACATACACACATACACACACACGCACACGCGCACATGCGCACACACATACATCAATTTTTTGTAAAGTTTGCCAAAATGTTCAGAAACCTCTGAAACGTAATATATATATATATATATATATATATATATATATAAATTTTCATTTTTGATTTTTTTGCGTTTATTATAACTTACCCTACAGGAATAATTACATTGCATCAAACGTTGAAAGCATTTGTCATTCTAATTGTAAGGAAATCAATGTTATAGCATTCATATCCGCAAACATTTTAAGATTTATGAAAAATGAAGTAAATTGGTCCAAAAAACTAAAAATAAAAATTAAGAAGGACAATATAAAGAATATTGTCCTCCTTATTTTTTTTTTAATTTTCTGGACCAATTTTCTTTATTTTCCACAAATCTTAAAACGTTTGCGAACGTGAATGCTACAACATTGATTTTCAGCATGATACAAAATGACATGAATGCTATAGCATTCAACGTTTGATTCAATTTAATTATTCCTGTAGGGTAAGTTATAGTAATCGCAAGAAGATCGAGAATACATTTTTTTAATCATTAAGGCTATGAAAAACAGATTCATCCAACTCTTAGCCATTTAATTTTAATTTTAATTCTATCCTTTGCACTCATATTTATTTAAATTTATGTTATTGTTTTTTATTATTACTAGATATTAAATTATTTAACAGTTGTAATAAATACTGTAATTAATAAAAAAAACTCTTGGCCATAAGGAACACGATGTATATAATTCCATAAAAATTGGTTAAGCTGTTTTGAAGAAATATTTGTTCTAAAGGAACTAAAAGTGTATATATATATATATGTATATATACATATATATATATATATATATGTATATATATATATATATATATATATATATATATGTATATATAATATACCTGAATTGCCAAAATGCTCCTTGAGCAGGGCTCAAAGAGATATGTTTTTTAGAATAGGTATTTCCTCTTGAGTTGCCCAACCAAACATCATAACCAAGTTCCGACAAATAGAACCCTGGATTTAATTAACAAAACTTATTACAGTTATATTCATTTTATTAATACATTATTATTTACCTAAAGATTTATCTCCAGTGACTACAAAACCTGCAGAACTTCCTAGAAGTCCATGTTGGAGGAATGCAACTCCTTTGGTGACACTGTTAGGTCTCTCTTTGGCATGAGGAACTCTATGGAGTTCCAAAATGTATCCATCAGATGTTTGGACATAATGAATTTCTGCTGGATAACCGTGTTTTTCGATTATTTCTGGCTAAAATAAAAGATATTTGTGAAAATCTAAAAGATCACTATTTTTGTTTCCAACCTAAAACAAGGTGATCAACGAGATTGTATTTAGATCAGTAGAGGTTGTTTGGGTTTTACAATTCAGTTACTGAGAGTCAAAAAGTACTCATATTCTTATAAGGAAATACATAAGACCTTCGCTTTACACGGTTCCCATACTACGCGGAGCTAAAAATCCGACATCTCTCCGACTACACGGACTTCCTATTACACGGTTTTTGTTCAACGGCCCATAAGTTCCTTGCGAAATCCATGAGTGATTATTGGAACTTGATATCAAAAGGGTGTTAATGTAAGTTTTGTTATCGACTTTTGGCCAAAAAGTCTAAGAACACTGTCTAAAAACACTGTCTAAAAACACGTTTGAACTGACTACTGCGTGGCGCCAATTTTTGAATAAGGTGTCAATGTCATGAATGTCATTTCGTCCGTATTACTCCTACTTCAAGTTGTATTTCTTGGTCTCCATACAACACAATAAAAATGGTGCGATTTGTACCAACGGTTCCCATATTGCACTATATAAGTTTCCATAGAACGCACTACGATTTAGCCTGAATTGTTAAATGTTAAATGCGATTTTTTTATAGCACGGTCGCCATACTGCACGGTACGCACTTGCCGCGTAAAGCGAGGTTTTACTGTATTTTATATAAGTATGCTAAATGGGATATTTCACTCGATGATGCATCTAATACAACACAACAATCAATCGCAAGAGATACGTGCGTTATTTTCCAATCACATTTATATGTATATAGTAATTGGGTACAACTAGTTTTCTATAAAACTTACCACAGTCTCTCTCGATCCTGAATTTAGAAGAACTTTTTGCAATTCTGCACTTTTTGCCAAATCGTTGTTAGTGATGTTGCCAGCTTGGGCAAATTGTACCAGGCAAACAATTGCCAAAGTACATACTGCTAAAATCTTCATTTTCTAAATTTATTTATCTGAAATATTATAAATTTGATCAGTTTCCAAATTAAATTATGCACAAATTTATGAATATATTATAAAATGAAATAGAGTAGAGCAGGGTTCAAAGGTCCTCGGGTGACAAATTAAAAAAAAATAACAGGAAAAAAATATATTTCTACAATGATGTTAACTGGGAGTTTTACTGCACATAGTCAGATAGTTGTTCGCTTGTTTAGTTTTCACAATATAATTGCCCAAAGTCAAATTGGACTTCAAAGTTGCTTTACCTAATAGTTTGTTTTTACCAAAAAAATCCGAATTCCAAAAGATACGATCACGATAATAGGAATTTCAAAAATTGGGAAAAATAAAAAAAAATGTACATCTTACGCTATTTTATTTTTAGTAAATATATTTTACTCACTTTTTCGAAATACACACAATTTTTACTAAATTTATTTCTTTTCCTAGGCTTCACTTTTCATATAATATCACGATTCATGTTTTCGTTCATCATTTTATATAACGTGTGTAATTATCTTAAAATTATCTAAAATAAATTAGAGCATTATCTCAGTTTTTAATTTAAAATAAATCTTTTAAATAAATCTTGGATTATTTAAAAGCTGTATAAACTAATACTATATTTGACAACCAGTATGCCTACGACTTTGTTCGCATAGAATTTGAGAAAAAAAAATGCAAAGTTTAGTTTAATTTCCATATATTTTTATTATTCTGTATTAGCTTTATTGTAAATTTTTCTGCATATTCAAAATTTAGTGTGCAATTTATTTCTTGGACTATTTTTGGATGCAAAAACTTGTGCTTTTGTCGATGTTTTCTTAAAAAACGGCTGCACCGATTTCAAAAATTTGAAAGCCATTCTGGTAACTCAACAAAAAATCGCATTTGTTTAGTTTTGTTCGATGATCACAGGAGCTGTTTCTTCGATAAATCAAAAATTCGAAATTTCAAAGATACATTTGGGAATCGTTTTTGCTGAAGAACACTTTTTCCTCTTTTCATAAATAATTGTTGAATTAATTTTTGACATTTTTTATGAAACTTTGCACAGAGATAAATTCTTATCGTACATTTTTCACAATCATAAGCTTCAAAAATTGGTTTAATAGGACACGCACTTAGGTAACACATTGTGTGCGTATTGAGAGCTTATTCGAGTACTTAATATATAATTATAAAATATTATTTACATAAATCGGAAAGATCATATAATTAGTCTTAAGGCAAAACGTCACTTCTACGAATCCTTTATATCAATTGAAGTCGGTTCAGTAGTTTAGTAGTCCATTATGATCAAACATCTGATAATATAATCCTACATCTGAGAATATGAACTGAAATATATTTTGTATTTATCAGGTTGGGAAAAAAAATCTTGTAAATAATATATCTGAATATTTTCGAATACACACAACACACAAATCAATAATTTTAAGCTGAAACTTTATTATAGCAAATAATACAAACAAATATTGTTGGATTGAATTCTAGTTTTATTTCATATTGACATAATATACATATTCATTAACTTTTTTCCATATTGTTGGCAACATGTCTATATACCCAATTCAATTGCATCGATGCCATACAAATAGTCACCATGGCCCCAAAATTTATCTGCAACTTTGTGCAAAACTTTTACGTTTGGCATCTGGTCTGCCGAATATTCAACATCCTGAAAAAAATTACATAAATTTAATTTATATATATCTACATATATATAAAAATAAGTCGGGTTTTCCTTCCTGACGAAATAACTCCAGAACGCACGAACAGATTTCGACAATTTTGCATTCGTTGGAACTTCACGCACCGTAATTGAAAATTCAAGTAATGACATTAGTGAGAATTATCAGAATTTTGCTTGGTTAAGTCAACGAGCAATTTTTGCCCCAAAAAATAATGATGTACACGCACTGAATTTCACCATTCAATTAAACATTGCTGGCGATTTGGTGCCATACCAATGATTCCGACTGGTCTTCCGTTTGACTTCAAACGATTGCAATTTCCAGTTCGCCTTGCGTTCGCAATAACAAGTCGCAAGGCCAATCGCTTAGTGTTTGCGGAATAAATTTCAAATAGATTATTTAGAAAATCATTGTTTTTTACATAGGCAGTTACACGTTGCCTGTTCACGAGTTGGAAAACCACCCGCTTTGTTTGTGTTAACGTCAGACCAAAAAACAAAAAATGTGGTTTACCAAAAAGCACTTCAATGAGACGGATAATTTGCGGATTCACTTTCATCTACTTAGAGAAGTTCAACTAAAAACACTTCATTTTTGTAATCGAAATAAATGCATTACTGTTGTGTAATAAAATCAAATTTTTCCTTTTCAAATATAAACCAAACAAAAAATTTCTTCATCTTTCTCACGAAACCATCTGGTGGCGAAACGGAGTTCGTCGGGTTTCCTAGTATATATATATATATATATATATATATATATTTATATATATATATATATTTATATATATATATATATATATATATATATATATATATATATATATATATATTTATATATATATATATATTTACCTGAGGTGCGACCATTTTGTCCTTGTCAGAATAATACAAATAAGTTGGTGCAGTAAGTTTCTTCAAGTCGTATTTTGGTGGAGAAGCCTGTCCATAAATCTGGTTATTTTTAAACCATCCGTAGTCGTATTTTTCAAAATTTCCTGCAAGAAATTGTAATTGCATAAAATTTGTTGGTTTTGAAGCAAAAATCAATAAAAGTCAACATATGACTTTAAATTATCACTCTTATCATGCATCCCTCACGTGGTCAAAATTATTAGAGTGATTAATTTATTTTTGTTATATTAATCTTGATGATGAATTAGAACAAATTGTAAAATAAGTTGTGATTAAATTTTAATTCTTTCTGCATATTCTTATCAATTTCAATTTCATTCCCAAATTATTTCCATACCTGATTTTATTAATTGGGCGTAATGGAGCAGTTGTTTTGTAGATGCACCAGCTGGAAGATTTTCTAAAATTTCAGGAATCAAAGTCTAGAAATTGAATAAAATGTTGAAATAAGATGTACTAAAAATATTTGACATCTTGTTAGTATTTTGGAAGAACGATTCTGTAAAAATATAAAAATGCAGACTAGGACAACCTGGAAATCTTACGTCAACTTGGGACTTCTGAGGAAGTTTTAGTACCACATATCTATCAAATCTAATATTTCTTCACTTACTGCATTTAATTGATCAGGATTGTATCCAGAAAGCAAGAAATAGATATTGCTGCACAAAATTCCTTGAGTCCAGTCATCATCTTGACATAAAACTTTACCAACGTCTTCAATAATTTCCAAGGAGGGCAAAAATTCATTCAAACCAATTGCTGAAGTAACCCACTACAAAAACAAGATTTTATTCCATTGCACAAATTAAATATTAAAAAATTATTTATAATCACTTCTATTTGGTGTCCAAATCGGGCAAGAATTTGAAAAATGATATTTGGTTCGTGTTTCAAAAAAATTGGTGGTGCCAAAGCCTGGAAGGATTTTAATTTGGAATTGTATTCTGGACGATCTGCAGCCATTACTACGGAATCTGTACATCCTTGGGAATGCCCTGAAAATAACAAAAATATTAAAAATAAATTAAATGCTATATTTTTGAAAATTACATACCTATGAGATGTAATTTTTCTTCTCCAGTTGCATTAAGAACGTAGTCGATCATGGCAGGTACATCGAAGTTTCCTATTTCGTTCCAACTTAATAAAGGATAAATGATTATTGAATACATGAAAATTCAAAAAGTTTGTGGACAAACCAGATAGCCTTTATAACTACATAGCAAAATAAAATTTTCATTTATTACCTGAATTGCCAGAAAGCTGCCTGAGCAGGACTAAACGAGATATGTTTTCTAGAATAGGTATTTCCTCTGGCGTTGCCCAACCAAACATCGTAACCAAGTTCCGACAGATATAACCCTAAATAATAATAATAATATTCTAATTGTTATTATATTTGATGACTTATGATATGTTTTTACCTAAAGATTTATCTCCACTGACCACAAAACCAGCAGAACTGGCTAAAAGTCCAGGTTGAAGGAATGCAACTCCTTTGGTTACACTGTCAGGTCTCTCTTTGGCATGAGGAACTCTATGGAGTTCTAAAATATATCCATCAGATGTTTGGACATGATGAATTTCTGATGGATAACCGTGTTTTTCGATTATTTCTGGCTGAAATAAAAAATTATTTTTGGAAATCGAAAAAATAACATTGTAAAACAATGTGATCATCGATATTGCATTTAGGTCAGTAAATGTCAAGTTGGTTGTAATGTATATTGTTTGGCTTTTACAATACAATTCCTGGGAGTCTCAAATTACTTATATGCTTATAAGCTAATATTATATACATACATATATATATATATATATATATATATACATAAAGATGCTGAATGGGACATTTCACTCGATGATGCATCTAATACAACTCAACAACCAATTTCAAAAGATACGAGCGATATTTTCCCATCACATTTATATGTATATCGCAATCGAAAAAGTAAACTAGTGGTGTATGGCATCGTGCCTTAAGGCAAATTGCTGGAACTTCCCGTACCGTAATGAAATATTCGAGAAATTTTAAACGTTTTCAAATATATTATTACAAATACTGTAACTTTAATTATTTTTGCTATCTTGTTATATCTGAGCAAATCAAATGTAAATCATAAATCAATTTATCTCCAGAACATTAACAATCGTCATTTCATTTCGAATTTTAATATTTAAAAAACAAAAATACTGCCTTTAATTTACATAAAATTGAAAAAGTGCTTCCGTATAGTCACAGTCTAAACGCATTTGCAAATAATTCTGTGCGACATTTTCACTTATACTGGCGGAGCTTGGCGGCATTTTCACATTTTTCAATAGTTTTCACAAAATTCAAAAAGTGCTCCAGTACATAAACAGTCTAAACGCACTTGGCTAAACATTTGTACCAGAGTAGTGCTTAGATTGTGCTTAGCCTGGGTAATTTTTTGAATTTTTAATCCAAAATTACAAAAATATTTCATGGAAAATAAAAAAGATGTAATATTTTTTTATCCTTAAAAACAATTATTTTGTCAATACAAGCAGAAAGTTTTTTAGATCATTCGAATCGGACGCTTAGTTCACTCAAAAACTGCCATTTTTTGTATATTTAGCTCTGTATCTACAAAATGGCGGGACCTGTCTTTGCCAAAAACTAAACACATCTTCTCCGAATCATTACAAATTGAATGTTTTTTAGATAATTCAAATTGGATACACCGTTCTATCAAAAACTCGATTTGTATTTTTTGCATTCTTTGCTCTGTATCTCCGAAACGGCTGGACCTGCCTTTTTCAAAAACTAATCAGCACATTTCCCTATCAATAGGAATCGAATGTTTTTTGAACCATTCAAATCGGTTGATCCGTGCGCCCGAAAACGTCCATACATACATACATACACACACACACATCCATTTTTTCTGAGGTATGCTAAAATGTTCAGAAACCTTCAAAACGTGAAGATATGTAAAAAATTTCAATTTCGATCTTCGGCCCATTACTATAACTACCCTACGGGAAGTTAAAAAAATACTTATATTATGTGTAAAGATGCTGAATGGGATATTTAACACGCAGATGCATCTAATACAACTCAAAAATCAATCGCAAAAGATACGTGCGTTGTTTTACGTCTTAATAACTAGATGTAATTTAGAGTCATATTTAATATTCAGCTAGTTTTCTATAAAACTTTACCACAGTCTCCCTCGATCCTGAATTTAAAAGAACTTTTTGCAATTCTGCACTTTTTGCCAAATCGCTGTTTGTTATGTTGCCAGCTTGGGAAAATTGTACCAGGCAAACAGTTGCCCAAGCACATACTGCTAAATTCTTTATCTTATTCATTAATCTGGAATATAATAAACAAAATCAGTTTGCAAATTATATTATGCACAAAGTTATGAATATTTTATAAAGAGCGGGGTTCAAAGGTTCTTAAAATTTATAAAAAAAAAAACAGGAAAAGACACATTTCTACAATGATGGAAGTTTTACTGCGCATAGTCACAATATAATTTATTCAAAGTCAAATTGGACTTCAAAGTTGCTCTATCTAATAGTTTTTTTACCAAAAAAATGCGAATTCTAAAAGATACGATCACCATTATAGGAATTTTAAAAATTGGGAAAAATAAAATATAAATATTACGCTATATTATATTTATTAAATATATTTCACTCACTTCTTCGAAATTCACACAATTTTTGACTAATTTTATTTCTATCACATGGCTTCACTTTATATGTAATATCACGATTGATGAATTCGTTCATTATTTTATATAATGCGTATAATTAATTACCTTCAAATTATCTAAAATAAATTAGAACACTATCTCAGTTTTTAATTTAAAATAAATCTCTCAAATAAATCTTGCATTTAATAACCAGTTATACCTGCGACTCTGTTTGCATAGAATTTAAGAGTAAAATTCAAAGTTTATTTTAATTGCCATATATTTGTATTGTTCTGTATTAAATAAATGATGTACGATTTATTTCTTGGACTATTTTTTGGAAGCCAGAACTTGTACTTTTGTCGACTTTTTATCAAAAAAGGCTGCACCGATTTCAAAAATTTTAAAATCAACCGAGCAACTTGACAAAAAATTGCATTGGAGTTTTGTGCGATGATCGCACGAGCTGTTTCTTCATAATATTGGAAAAAATGGTTATTTATAAATCAAAAACTATTTTTAACTTCCCGTAGGGTAAGTTATAGTAATCGCAAAAAAATCGAAAATGAAAATTTTTATATATCTTTACGTTTCAGAGGTTTCTGAATATTTTGGCATACCTTAGAAAAAATGGATGTATGTGTGTGTGTATGTGTGTGTGTGTGTGTGCGTGTGCGTGCGCGTGTGCGTGTATGTATGTGTGTGCGGATACAAATTTTTGTCGACGATTTCGGAAACACCAAACAAGCGATTTGAATAATTCAAAAAACATTTGTATTTGTAAACACGATTTGTATTGATAAGAGGACGTGCTGATTAGTTTTTGGCGAAGGCAGGTCTAGCCGTTCCGAAGATACGGAGCAAAAAGTGCCGAAAACGGTAACACAGTTTTTAAGACAACGGAGCGTCCGATTTGAATAATTTAAAAAACATTTTACTTGCATTGACAAGATGAAGAATTGATCAAATTTTCATGAAGGCAGGCCTAGCGGTTTCGGAGATCTAATAAAAAAAGTAAACAAAAAATGCCATTTGACGGTTAAAAATGATCATTAGACATATGCACATCAAATTATCAGATATTTTATAGAGATTTTAACAATAAGTATAAGTTTTGTTAATATTCCTATAGGTTCCGTACCAATGTTTATCCGTTAGACGGCGACTCGGCGCTTACGCGCTTCGATATTTAGTCTCTATGCATTGAAGCAGTACGATTGCTTTGAAAAAAGTTCAGAATTTCCAAAATATTTCAAAATGCATTTTTCTTCAAAAAGTCATTTTTTCAAAAAAAAGTAAATTTCTGTCAAAAATTTATAGTTTCTCAAAAATCTAATTTTTAAAAGTAAATTTTTTTCAAAAATGTTAATGTTTTAAAAAAAAAAATTTTTTGGTACGGGAAGTTACAGCAATTTGCCTTAAGGCTAGATGCCATGCGTCCCACTAGTTTCAAAGATACATTTGGTAAAGAACACGTATTCCTCTTTTCATAAATAATTGTTGGATTAATTTAAGTTGGAGTTCGAATTTAAGTTGGACGTATTTTATGAAACTTTGCACAGGGATAAAGTCTTATCATACATTTTTAACAATCATAAGCTTTGAAATTTGGATTATTAGGGCACGCACTTACGTAACACTTTGTCTGCGTATTTAGTGCTTATTCGTGTATTTAACACATAATTAAAAATATTATTTACACAAATCGGAAAGATCATATAATTAGTCTTAAGGCAAAGCGTCACTTCTACGTAGTCATATTTAATCCTTCATATCAATTAAAATCGGTTCAGTAGTTCAGTAGTCCTTTATGACCAAAAATTGTGACACTAATACTAGTGGTGTACGGCATCGTGCCTTAAGGCAAATTCATGGAATTTTTCGTACCATAATTATTCGAAGAATAAAATTTAGTTCAAAAAAAAATTTTTTTATGGAAATTAAGGACAATTTTTTTTTATCCAAAAGCAAATGTTAAGTCAACACAAGCAGGCAGTTTTTGAATCATTCAAATCGGATGCTTAGTTTTCTCAAAAACTGACATTTTTTGCATACTCAGCACCGTATCTCCTAAATGGCTATACCTGCCTTTGCCAAAATCTAATCACCTCTGCTCCGCATCATTACAAATAGAATAATTTTTAGATCATTCAAATCGGATGCTCCGTTCTCTCAAAAACTCGATTTTTATTTTCGTCATTCTTTGCTCCGTATCTTCGAAACAGCTGGGCCTGGGCTTATGCTAAAAACTAATCAGCACATCTTCTTATCGTTAGGAATCGATTGCTTTTTAAACCATTCAAATCGGTTCATCCATGCGTCCGAAAACGTGGATGAAAAATTGTATCCATACATAATACACACAATAGAAAACTAATTTTAATGCAAAATGTCACCTTTCCAACAAGCATAAATCTGATATTTTACAAGAAATCTATCAGCACAGCCATCTATCGAAGAAATAATGGATTTCTTTTTCTCCAAACTATTATTTGTTAATAATAAGACACTTTTTTATATTAACTTACAGTAGAGTAAGTTATAATAATTCCAAATAAAAATTCTTAAAAATTTTTTATCAATGGATGTGTGTGTGAGTGTGTGTATAAGTGTATATGTGTGTATCTATGTGCGGATACAAATTTCTGTCGATGATTTTGCGTGCAAGGATCGATTAGAACCTAAAACATTACGAATTTTTCAATTGAAAAAAGAATAATTTCCATTAAAAAGTATATCTAAGCATTTTACACAATGCACAACTCAATAATTTTTAGCTGAAACTTTATTATAGCAAATGCTATATACAAATATTGCTGGATTGAATTCTAATTCTATTTTATATTAATATAATATACATATTCTTTAACTTTTTTCCATATTTTTGGCAACATGACTATAAACATATTCAATTGCATCGATTCCCATCAAGTAGTCAATATGACCCCAACGTTTGTCTGCAATTTTCAGCAAACCTTTTATATTTGGCAACTGGTCTGCCAAATATTCAACATCCTGAAAAAAATAATTTGAAATAAATAATTATAAAAAAGTATAAAACTCTAAAAAAATGACCAATGAGTACAAATATAGCAATGTCAGGGATTCTTACTAGTAAGAAATACACAGTACTTCCAGTATATATATATATATATATTAGGGTGGTCCTTAAAATGGTCATTTTCGAATTTCCTTGCTCCCAGGGGCTCAAATGGTTCCAAATAGATAAAAAACAATTCTCTGAAAGTTTTAGCTCTTAATATTAACTTTTAGATAGAGCGCAATTCAATCAAAGTTTGTATGGAAAGAGCATCAAAAAAATTTTGAAAATTAAAAAAAAATGTTTTAGGTATAACTTAGCGACAAATAAATGAGCTTTATTCATTCATTTGTTTGCTAAATTTCATCTAAAAAACATTTTTGAAATTTTTGAAAATTTTTTCATGCTATTTCCATACAAAACTTTGATTGAATTGCGCTCTATCTAAACGTTAATATTAAGAGCTAAAACTTTCAGAGAATTGTTTTTTATCAATTTGGAACCATTTGAGCCCCTGGGAGCAAGGAAATTCGAAAATGACCATTTTAAGGACCACCCTAATATATATATATATATATATATATATATATATATATATATATTTATATTAGGCAAAAGTTTGCAATATATTTACAAGAGAATGAACCAACACCTTTGCAATTCGAAAATCCAAATCAGTTTAAGACAATGTTTTCGGAACATATCTATAATTTCAACCGTACTTTCAATACCACAAAAATTCTATTATTTTACATAAGGCAAAGAATGGTGACCGTTTAGTGTTTAATAAATTTATATATATATATATATATATATATATATATATACACATTAAATTATATTTACCCTAGCAGACACCATGTTGTCCTTATCAGAATAATACAAATAAGTTGGCGCAGTAAGTTTCTTCAAATCGTATTTTGGTGGAAAAGCTTGTCCATAAATCTTATTATTTTTGAACCATCCATAGTTGTATTTTTGGAAGTTTGCTGAAAAAAAAATTAAAGTTTGATCAAAACTTCTTTTACGACAAAAACAGACTGTTAATTATGAACTTTGTACTGTTTTTTGCAAATTTTCTAGAAGACAATTTTGAATCATAATTGAGTTGAGGAAAAACCAGTGTACAAGAAAAACCAATTTACAAAGTATGTTTTTGAGGTTTTTATAAAATTTGTGTAGTATCAAAATTGATTGTTCCTGGTCAAAAATTAAGAAACGAAATCTGTTTTTTTCGTTCGGATAGTTAAAAATTTAATATTCTGAATCAAAACTGGTTGTTTTTGGTCAAAAATTAAGAAACAGTCTTTTTTTGCTCAGATTGTTTTAAATTTTGTGTTGTATTTTTCGAAATTTTTAAAAAAATTCTAATGAATCAAAACTGGATATTTTTGGTTTCAAACTAATAAACAATGTTTGCTTTTTCGAAATTTGTATTTTGATTTAGGAGAATTTTTAAAAATTTTCTGAACTGATACTTATTATTTCAGGACATGTCTTAGTATAATTTTATCTCCAAATTTATATATTTTTTTAAAATGAGTATGAATTTTGTATCATTTCAAGATGATCTAATATATGAACTAAAATTTGCATTAAATTTTCTATTTTGCAAAAATTGTTCTAATATAGAATAATATCAATTTAGGTATTTAATATAGAAACGCTTAGCAGTTTTTTTGCAGTTTTGCTGAATTTGAAGAAGATTTTGTTTATTTATGATTAGGTTATTAATAAACCTATTTTTTTTTAGATTTTTTTTTTAATTAGAAATAATTGATTAATGAAGAAAATTAGGTTTTTGTAGATTTATGTCAAATACTGTATTAATAGGTCTGATATTATTTTTATGTTTTAAGAATGTCTAAAAATTTGTTGAAAATAATCTTAAAACTTTCCAACTTTGAGAAATTTTTCAAAAAATCCATGAAATCTTATCCACTTTTTTAAAAATAATTATTAGATTACGATTTAATTAATTCTTAAATATTTTACATTAAATTAAAATATTTTTCATTAATTTTAAATATTTCAAGGATTTTTACATTTTGCAAATTATTTAATAGATTTTTATTTTTTATGTAAACTAATTATATATAATATTTAATAAAATATAATGAAATTTTCTAAAATATATATGTTTGATATATCACTAAATGCCATAAATTTGCTTTAGATGAGCTTAGATATTTATCTAAATTTTTGATTATTATTGAAGTAAATTATAAATTAAATTTTAATTTTAAATTTAATTTTGACTTGATAAATTAAAATAGTTTTGAATATCTAAGTTTGAATTATATCTTCAAATTTGCCAATTTGTTATTTTATATTACCAGTTTAGTGAAATTTTACATTTTTCAAGAGGTTTATTATAAATTACCGTTTTGCGTGAGTTAAAATTAATTTATATTCAAAAATAAAATTCGACCTTTTGTCATTACAAGGTATAAATAAATTATTTAAATTAACTTTTATGCATTTGGATGTAATTTAAATTTTTTAAGTTTATTATAAATTATAATTTCGGTTTTATGAATTAGAACCGATTTTATTACATAAGTTTGACTTTAAATATGTCATTTTTTAGTAATTATTAATTACTACAATTTAGACAAAAAGTAGTACAAATCATCATTATTTTTCGTAAATTTCCCATTATTTTTTCTAGATTAATTATATCTATATATTTGCTTACCTGATGTTATCAATTGTGCAAAATGGAGCAGTTGTTTTGTAGATGCACCAGCTGGAACATTTTCCAAAATTTCAGGAATCAAAGTCTAGAAATTAAATAAAAAGTGTAAAATCCAATCCAACTGAAAATATCATCATAAAAATCTAAAAATGCATTCAGGCGTTTTATTCATAAACTGCGACGTTACTCGTATGTTATGAAGTTGAGTCAGAAAGACCATGTTAAATAACATCTTTTTTTTGACATTTGTGCGGTTTCTAGGTTATGATTAACGTAAAAATACAAATATTTTTAAGAAGTATCTGTAAATTCTTGGAAGTACAAAATGATTTGATAAAATTATATAGAAGTGAATTAGTGCAAAAAAGGGAGACCAGCTGTTATATAATCGAAAGGAATATAAATTGATTGAGGAAAAAAAATACTCATAAGTCAATTTTTTACTTACTGCATTTAATTGATCAGGATTGTAGCCAGCAATCATGAAATAGATATTATTGCACAAAATTCCCTGAGTCCAATCATCATCTTGGCAGAAGACTTTGCCAATTTCTTCAATAATTCCCATGGAAGGCAAAAATTCATTCAAACCAATTGCTGAAGCAACCCACTACAGAAACAACAATATGATAATAGATACTAGTTTTTTTTGTAATAAAAAAATATTTATTATTACCCCTAATTGAGTTTCAAATCTGGCAATAATTTGCAGAAGGATATTTGGCTGATGTTTCATGAAAATTGGTGGTGCCAAAGCCTGGAAGGATTTTATTTTGGCGTTGTATTCTGGTCGTTCTGTAGCCATTACTACGAAGTCAGTACATCCTTGGGAATGACCTAAAAAAAAACAAAAATCATAAAAAATATTAAATGCTAATATGTCGATTCTACCTCACAACAGACCAATGTTATGGCAAGGCCATGTTACGCTCCATCTTCCATACATTATGCTTCTGAATCATACTGAATACTATCAAAATGTCATGTATTTGCTGTGCATTCACACATAAACTGCAACGTCACTCGTATGTTATGAAGCTGGGTCAGAAAGATCCTGTTATCTAACATAGTTTTTTGACATTTGTGCGGCTTCTAGGTTAAGTTCTCTATCTAACGACCTGAGAAAAATGCCTGATTGCACAGCAACCGCATCTTTGTCAATATTTAGTATGGAAAGTTTTTCATAACATAGCCTTGCCATAACATTTGTCTATTATGAGGCCGAATCGGTTCATAAGTTTGCTAGGAATTAAAAAAAATAATTTTCTTACCAATGATGTGTAATTTTTCTTCACCAGTTACTGCAAGGATGTAGTCGATCATGGCAGTTACATCGAAATTTCCCATTTCGTGCCAACTGAAAAATGGATAAGTGATTATTAATAATTTGCTAAATTATTACAAATTTTATAATATAGATAAGTGATTATTAATAACTTGCAAAATTTTCACAAATTTTATATTTAGTTTATTATATAGAGCAGAGCAAATATTGTAAAGTAGTTAGTTTGGTTTTTACAGAATATTGATTAAAATTCAGATTTTTTTATTCTCTATTTTATTTACAACTGTCCATTTAATAGTTTGATAGTTTTCAGAAATTAATAAAATTTGAATTTGATTGGACTAAAGGAAAAAGTTTGTGTGGTTTTGTGAACAGATTTTTGACCTTTTGTCGATTTTTCCTCAAAAACGCCTGAACCGATTTCATAATTTTAAAACCGGTTTGTTTTTAGCCGAGTTTTTTGGTGACCTCACACATGAAAAAAATAAATGAATATTTTTAAACGATTTATAAGTAGTTGGTTAGGTTTTCACAGAAAAATGATTAAAATTCAGAAATTAATATAAATTTTATTAATTTGATTGGACCAAATTTGGGAAAAGTGTGTGTGTGTGTGTGTGGGTATGTACAGATTTTTGACCTTTCGTCGACTATTTCTCAAAAAATGGCTGAACCGATTTCATAATTTTAAAAGCCATTTTTAGCCGAGTTTTTTGGCGACCTCACATAAATATAAAATATAAATAAAATAAATGAATATTTTTAAACGATTTATTCATTTGGTATAAATATTTTTCATTGAAATTTTTTGCGATCCTAATTGGGGTCAAACTGATTTAAGGATAGAAATTTTTGAAATTGAATTGAAATTTTTGAATTGAATCTTTGGTAATTCCATAAAATATAACGGCAAAAACTTAAATTTAATAAAAAACTTCAAGCTATTATATAAATAGAAAACTCGAGACATTTTTTGGTTCTTTTCAAATTACTCTCAAATTTTATATAGGAGTACTCTTCTTTAGTTAAATAGGAAGAAACTAGATTTTTTTTATTTACATGCTAACTGTTACATACACACTCCAATATAAAAGTTTTGAATATAGCGACTTTGAATTTCATTTTTCATTCATTAGTATAAATAAAAAATTCGGGAGACTTTTTTGGTTTTTGTCAAATTACTTACAAACTGTATATGAAAGCAATCTTCTTGAGTTCGATAGGGAAAAACTAGATAAAATTTACTACATTCCCATGCTAACAGTTATATACACTCCGATATAAAAGTTTTGGATAAAATGACTTTGAATTTGATTTTTGTAAAAACTTGTTTATATTTTTGAAAACTAATTTAATTCAAAAACTATCCAAAAGATATTATAGTGCTGATTAATCTTGGACAGAGATCGGCTTTCTTTGTACCCTTTCTTTGTAATTAACTTTTTTATATAGGAACATTTTATGTTGATATATATCATGGTCTTACAGAACTTACTGAAATATTTCGGCCTTACGACAAGTAGTTTAATTTTAAAAATTCATCAAAGTTTGAAAAACGATTATGCTTTTGTGATGTGATGAGTCAAACATTATCAACTCTTTTAAATTTGGTATAATAAACTACAATTCTAGGACATAGAAGCACGTGTTTGTGCAATGTAATTAATATCACAAAAAATTTAAATATGTTTGAGAAAATTCAATTGGAAATCGATATGTTTAGATTTAATCAAAAGCGATTATCTAAATATCTAAATCTCAATTTTGGTTGATTAAGTCAATTATTAACTTGCCTCAAGGGAAAATGCCACTTTCAACTAATTATTTACCTGAATTGCCAGAATGCTGATTGAGCAGGACTCAATGAGATATGGTTCTTAGAATTGGTGTTTCCTCTGGCGTTGCCCAACCAAACATCGTAACCAAGTTCCGACAAATAGAACCCTAAATAATAATAATAATATTCTCATTCATCTTGTATTTAGTGACTTAAGACATGTTTTTACCTAAGGATTTATCTCCACTGACTAAGAAATCAGCAGAACTGGAGAAAAGTCCATGTTGAAGGAATGCAACTCCTTTGGTGACACTATTGGGTCTTCCTCTGGCATGAGGAACTCTATGTACTTCCAATATATATCCATCAGCAGTTTGAACACTGTGTTTTTCTGATGGATAACCGTGTTTTTCGATGATTTCAGGCTATAATAAAAAAAGAGTGCGCGTAAGGATCACACGCGATTGAAGTAAAGCTTATTTGCGACTGTACAAGATAGCATTTAAGTTAAAAATAAATACATCATATAACAAATTTGAAAATTTTTATTAGTAATTTGGTAACACTCGTGATGGACACATTTATTGGTGTCGACCATTATATACATTTATATAATGATGAATTACAAATTATATGTTTATAATAGCATTAAAAATATGTATAATATTTAAAACAATAATGTAATTGAAGTCATACTTCGAGTATGACATGATCGGTTTGTCATTGTAATTATCATTTAGAAATAAACCTTCATCAGAGAAATGAAATAATTCCTGATTAATGAATTCTGTAATATTCGTTCACACAGTGGATTATGTTAAACAACGCCTAAACAAATATTGTTTTCGCAACTTCACTCATCATGTAATAATTGTGTTTGAAGAACTTCATGTAATTAAAATTAACATACATTCATTGACTGCTTGTATTTTCTTTACTTTTTTGCAGGCGATATAATCTTATTCTTTGAGCAGCTGTAATATCTTTCTTGTCTACAAATATTTTCCATTTTAGTAACTTCAAAGATTTATAGAAACTTTGAATAATATAGAAAGAGTCCACAACCGCTGGACCTGCCTTTCCAAAAATATTAATAAAAATAAATGTAATGTGAAATGTTTGTTGAAAATTTGAGATAAGATTTGTGATTTTCGACGTAAACAAGATAATCAATCTGATTGGATTTACAGGATTTAGATAAGTAGATGTCATCTAGATTTTGATAATAAAATCATTCATCATATAGTAAGTAGCTTATTGTTGCTTTGACATATGAACTGTAGATAACGTTGATTGCAGATTTGATTTAGCCCATTCAAAAAAAAGATTATTTGCTGTTTTTTATTACATTTGCTAATTGTTTGTTATCTCGGCGTTTCGAGTCATTCTGAAGCGATTGACATCAAAGTTAGTAAATATAAGTAGGTTTGGGAAGCATACACACAAAATTTTATTTTTATCTATATAATCAAATATGGCTTCAATCAAAAGTATCTAAAAATGGACCGATTTTGAAAAATGTAAAAGCCATTTGATGTTATTTTTTACTTAACAGAAGTGTGGAAAATTGTTGTTTTTGCAGCAATGTCAGTACAAGTAGAAAAACATATTTTAAGTGTAAATAAATATTACTACTGCTTGATATAAAGTTAAACACAACACAGGATTTAAATTCGGAACTTTGTAGTATTAAGATAGAGGTCAATGGTTGTTCTATAGCCTTCTCTTGAAATATAATTAAATATACAAATAAAACGAGGTCAATAAATAATGTTGCCAAAGATAATAACATTTACTAAAAATTACTACTTATTGTTTTTGACATGTTTTTGCATTTCCAAAATCTTTGCCAAAATCTAGGGTAAAAGTTCATATAACTTCAATTTCACTGTTGAAGTCAATTTTATGAAAACTGAATAATATTTACTTAATATTTTATAGAAAGTTTGGTTCTAAAAATTCTTACCACTGTCTTTCTTGGTCCTACATTTAAAAGAGCCCTTTGCAATTCTGCCCTTTTAGCCAAATCGCTATTTCTGATGTTCCCAGCTTGGGAAAATTGCACCAGGCAAACAATTGCCAAAGTACATACAGCTAAAATCTTCATTTTCTAAACTTATCTGAAAAAAAAAGTATTCCAATCACCTTTCAAAATTCGCTGATAAAATGTATTAGGAATTTTTTTGAATAACAACTATAAATTACAAACTTAAAGAATTTTTTTTTATTTCTTTGAATTTAGTGACGCATTTAAAAAAAATATATAAAACTACTAGGTGTGACAAATTTGTATAATTAACATCGATCAATAATATATTTGTTTTATTAAAAATATTTTCTTAATATTTCCTAAATTTCAAAAATTTTTGCGAATAAATTATTTTGAAGCTGAATTTTTTAATTTGACTTTTTTGATGACAACATTTATTTTTGATTTAGATCATAAATTTAAAAAAACATCTAAATTCTTGACAAAGATCATGATGAGAGTGAAACAGATATTTGTTTAAAATCACAACAAATGTGCAAAAATTTACAATTGAAAGTTGATCTTTATATTTTTACAAATAAAGTCCACAAATAATTTTATAGATGTCATCTAAATTTTAATACTTTTAACAATTTGTTTTAACAAAATTCTAAAAAAATGTAAATAATTATTTAAATAATTGTTCAAAATCATAAAAAATATATCCAATACATAATTATAAGCTTTAATTATATTAAGAAAAATTGATCATCTAAAATAAATAACATTTACATATCTTTCTAAAATAATAGATTTTATCTAGATTTCGAATAAAAATTAGTCGATATTCAATTTAAAAAAAGATCTAAAATAATATTTTGCCACAGAAGACAATGAGAATATTTGCAACTGCAAAATTTGTGCAAAATGTATAATTCAAAAATCAAAGATTTTATCTAGACTATATTTTTTTTAACAAAATGTGATCACAATCTTAAAATTTGCGATTAAATTTTTGAAACAGAATAATAAAAATAGTGCATTTAAAATCACATTTTGTTATACATTATAATATTAAATTTTGAGACATTTTTTTAAAAAAATGTGCTCACCAAACTAAAAAATTTGAGTAGATTGATTATTAACTCAGATGATAAAAAAAATGTGCGAAAATTTACAATTACTTTTTTTAGCTTTTACAATTTTTTTTACAAATATAATGTATTTATATATCCAATTTCAAAGATTTTATCTCAAGTTCAAATATCTTAACCAACTTTTCTCTTACCAAAAAATTAAAAAGAATTTTACCACGTGTATTACAAATGAGAAAAAAGTTTTGAGGAAAATCATAATAGGAATTTTAAAATCTATGTGTAAAATTAATAGGAACTTATTATGAAACTAAGTTACTTATATCATATGAATTTCACTCACCTTTCCAAAATATTCACAATTTTTCCAAATTTTATATCTTTTCCGAGGCTTCACTTCACATACAATATCACTATCGATTAATTTGTCCATTGTTTTATATTATGCGTGTAATCATTTATCTTAAAATTATCTGAAAAAAAATCACTGCTATCAATTTTTAATTTAAAATCAGCGCAAAGTCTGCCATCCAAATCTTGTACGTAAATCTTTAAATTTTAATCCTGCATTACAAACATATTTAATAACAATAATAATAAATTGATTCATAAATAATATCATAACAGACTTATTATGTAGATCAAGATAATATACAAGATTATATAAGATAATAGTAGATTTGGATATACAATGTTTTTTGTATGAAAGTAAAAGTAATTGATTTTGTTAAATGATGAAAGCTCGAAGAAGCCCTAAATAGTTTTACACATATGTATATTAAGTTTCCAATTTTAATCTCAAACGATTCAGAATAACTTGAAACGTCAATAAATTAATTAATTTATAATAGTTCCTCTTTCAGTTTGCAACATTACTATATAATAAATTTTGTATCCAATATAAAATAATAATACTCTTTGTTAATGGTAAAATAAAATTTATTACTTTGATAATATTTACATAACAGTATTCTATTTATACAATAATACAAGGTATATTATTCCTTTGGGCAGGCAGTCGAAATAGAATGATTTTGTTGAAACTTCTTTCTTTTATACCATGATGGAGATACCCCCTCTTTCACTCCTAGATAGATATCCTCATCAGGTCCGCATTCTATATATAATTTTGTATTCTAACACCTCCCCTCAAAATTATATTTATTATACTATTTGCAGTCCATCCATTCCAATTCTCCTCAGACACTCTTCGTGTTTATTTCTAGTCAAACCTTTAGTAAGCATATCTGCTGGCATCTGTTCGCTGCATAGAAATTGAATATTAATTTTCTTATTAATATATTCATCACGTACCTTGTGATATTTTAATCCGATATGCTTCGTTCGTGGATGGAACCTATTGTTTTTTACAAGTTGTATAGCACTCTGGCTGTCATTATATATTGTAACCGTTTCACTTCCTATATCTAGAGTCTTCAATAATTCGTTCAAATATATAGCTTCCCTTGTTGCCTCACTCAAAGCTATATATTCAGCTTCCGTTGTTGATTGAGCTACTATTTTCTGTTTTCGCGCTTCCCAACTGATAGGCGCACCTGCAAATATGAAGCAAAATCCCGAATATGATTTATAGTCAACTATGTTACCTCCCCAATCTGCGTCTGCAACTCCAAATAAATTTTGATTTGTTTTCTTATATTTCAACCCATAATTCAATGTACCTTTCAGGTACCGTAATACTCTCTTTGCTGCGTTCCAATGTGTTGTATCGTAATTCGTATTAAATTGACTTAAATAATTTACTGCATAGGCAATATCTGGTCTTGTAGTTACTGCCAAATACATTAATGCCCCTATTAAAGATTGATAAGGATACTTTTGCATGATATATTCATTGGGTTCCTTAGGTTTAATCAGTTGGAGTCTAACCTCGCATGGTGTTGATACTATTTTACAATTTTCCATATTGAAACGATTTAGTATATTTTCTGCATAAGAACGTTGTTTTAAATATACAAATCCATTTTCCTGTTTGAATTCAATTCCAAGACATCTATCTACTTTGCCTAAGTCTCTCATCTCAAAACATTCAGATAAAGATAGTTTAATTTCATTTAACCAATCTTTATCATTTGATGCAATTAATAAATCATCAACATAAATAACTATCAATGTATGTTTTCCTGATTTATTGCACATAAACAAACATGGGTCTTGCGACATTGCTTTGAATCCCATTGTCTGCAATTTTGTTACAAATTTTTTGTGCCATTGAATACCTGATTGACGTAATCCATATAGTGCTTTCTTCAATAAACATACGGGATCTGGGCTTTTCTCAATATTTTTCAGCCAGGTCTTCGCTGTATCTCTAATTTTCTCAGTAGCCGGTTTTTGAATAGTACCCAATGGTTTCTTATTCACAATTTTATATAATACTTCATGTAATTGTTCTGGCAGATTCATGTAGACTTTTTCTTCAAGTTCTCCATTTAAATATGCAGTTACGACATCCATTTGATGAATTTCTAAACCCATTTCCGCAGATAATGCTGCCAATAGTCTAATAGAAGTTGATCGTGCCACCGGAGAATATGTCTCACAAAATCTTCACCATATTTTTGTGAACATCCTTTTGCAACTAACCGCACCTTTTTTCTATTAGGTTCTCCATCTAATTTTGTTGTAAAAACAAATCTGTTTCCAATAACTTTCTTTTGTGTGGGTCGCTCAACTATATCCCATGACATATTTTTGATTTGCGCAAGGTACTCGTCTTCTAACGCTTTCCTCCATTCGTCAGCATCACCTAGCTGACTAGCTTGTTCCCAAGTCGTAATATTAATTTTGGATATATTAAAAGCATTTTCAAATATTTCACATTTTTCACTAATCACATTGTTTTCGTTTGAAATCTCTTTATCAACCTCCCCTTCTCCAGAGGATTCTTCGATCATCTCTTTATTTATTTGATATTCTTTTCGCGGCCTTCCCGCATGACCTGTCCGAATAATCCTAGGACGCCCTTTTCCACGTTTTGATTGCTGCTGTGTTGGTCTTTCATGGTTTGTATTTTGCTCGACATTTCCTAATTTTAAATATACATCATAACCATTTTCACTATATATCTCACTATATTCATTATTAAATCCAGAATAGTTCAAGAATCTAACGTCTCTGCTCTCAATTATCTTATTGCTTCCCGGTATATATATTCGATAAGCCTTAGCATTATTCGAATAACCAACAAAGATTCCAGGTTTAGATCTCGAATCAAATTTTCCTTTGATATTACCATTTTTAATCAAAACATATGCTTTTGATCCAAATATTTGTAAATAACCTAAATTTGGAATTTTTCCAGTCCATACCGTATATGGTATACATCCATCTAGTGCACTTGTTGGACATCTGTTTCTAGTGTAATTGGCATTGCAAACAGCCTCAGCCCAAAACCGTTGTGGTGCCCCGCTTGCTTTAACATGCAACGTGCCATTTCTATCAATGTCCGGTTCTTCCTTTCGGCTACACCATTTTGTTGAGGCGTATACGGTGAAGTAAGCCGTCTTTTGATACCATTATTATTTAAAAAATTATTGAATTCATTATTACAATATTCTCTGCCATTATCTGTCTGCAAAGCTTTAATCTTGTGTCCAGTTTTGTTTTCTACATACATTTTATATTGTTTAAATGCACTCAGTACTTCGGATTTACACTTTATGAAATATACTTCACACCAACGCGATGCATCATCAATAAACGTTACAAAATATTTCATACCTGAGAATGAAGGAGCTCTCATTGGCCCACATACATCACTGTGTATAATTTCTAATAAATTCTTCGTACGAATCTCCTTCGATTTTGGAAAGGGTAGTCTCGTTTGTTTTTCACTAACACAGATTTCACAATTTGTTAACCTTTTATTAATATTTACATTTAAACCGTGCACTCTTTTATTTTTAATCATTGCTTTAATGTCATATTCATTCAAGTGCCCTAACTTTTTGTGCCACACATCAATACTCTTTGTATTTTCACTCACACTTTTCGCTGCATTCACTTTTTCATTAATATAAT